TCCATTCCCAGCCTCCTCCTCTCCCCTCTGACCATTCCAAGGAGAGACAGGAACACACAGAAAATGACTACAGAAAAAAAAAAAAAAAAAAAAAAAAAAAACCAAAATTTAAAAAAACCCTTTAAAAAAAAAAAAAAAAAAAAAAGAGCCCTAAGATTTAAAATACTCCTTTAGAAAAGCAAGAAGACTGAGGCTGTCAGACGGTGCAGGCTGCAAGAGAGTCCAAGGAACACCAGGCCTCAAAGTGCTTCCAAGCTGGCCTGGAGGGGCCATCAGGAAAAACCAGGGGGCCTGCTACAGAACAGGAAGAGAGGCCAGCCACAGGCAGGCCAGACCACATGGAGCCATGGAACGTGTTACCACTGTCCAAAATTGTCCCAAATATTCTGAGTCTGAGAACCAGAGAGGCAGACAGCTGTCCAAATTTGTACTTCAGTGCCCTCTTCCCCATTTTCCCAGAAGAGCTTTATCTGTCATCATGCCGTTCTACTCCCAGCATGGTCCCAGGCATGTTGGAACAAGGGTTGAGATGGGGCCTGTAAAATGTTCCCAGGTGAAATCCATTTCCTAGGCTACAGCCGTGAGTTCTGCCACCAACTCTCCCGTTTCCCCCAACGCCAGCATCCTTTTGCCTTGCCCTCCCACTCCTATAAGCTGACTGAATTGGGCTAAGCCTGCTCCATCCTCAGCATGAGAGACAGACTAACAGTGGGCAACTCCAACCTACTTAGCCTTCCAGTTAGTACTAGCCACAACATTTAGAAATAACGACGGCCTCAAAACTCTTGGGTTCGGCCAGCATCTTGCTGGCTTCTTGTCCTGGTCTGCAAATCACCCTCCTGTTCTTTGGAGCATAGCTAAGCTCTGTGGCTCTCATCCTCTCCCCATCCCCCAGCCCATCTCCCTCGACTTCCTGAAGCAGAGGGAAGAGCACAGGGGAAATGTCCATAAAACTGCACTTGGGATGCAAAAGGGAAATACACTATAGAAAACAGGAAAGCCGGATGTGGTGTTGACGTCCGCGTCCTTCATGAGGAAACACATTAAGTCTGCTCTCTTTGAGCATCTGTTGCTGGGGACAAGAGTCCCTGACCTCTCTTAGACTCAGCAGAAGCACTCTATCCCCCAACTTTTCATGGGAGTGCATCTCTGCAAAAATCTGGGCTTTGATGTGACAGTCCCTGAAGATCCTTGACATTGGAATGTGTCTCTTCAGAGGGCCCTTACTCCAGGCATAAGTTCTGCTGAGAACACAGGCCACTAGCCAACGTACAGGGACAACTTGGCACCTTCAAACTAACAGATGGGCTTCACGGAGCAGTTACAAGGCAAAACTGAAGGAGGGTGTGGACGGGACCTTGATATCCCAAACTCCCATACAAGCTCAAGCCTAGTGACTTTGCCATACCAAAGCCCTAGCAAAATGTGGCTGCCCCTACCTACACTGTCCTGGCCACCACATTGCCAGCCCATTACCCTCAGAGGCTTCTGGCTGACTGCCCCACAGACCTGGCAGAGTTCTGTTTGCCCTTCCTAGGCATGTTTCCATGGCTTGATTTTAAAGTAAGTAAAAAGAAATTCAAGTGTCCTGGAGTTTTAACTTTTCACAGCTGGAGGGCCCACAGAGATCAACCATCTACTCAGTGGGCAATCCCTCCCCTCCCCACCCATTTTGTTCTTTTCTGAAGTTAGAGAATGTCTTTGTAATATCTTTTTTTTCCCACATGTAGCAGAAAAGCAACTTAAAGCTGGAATGGAAAAAAAAAAAAGGAATTTGTTGGCGCTCCCTGGAACTAGGCCCACCTGAGCTATGACTTTTGAGTGAGGAATGAACATAAAGTAGATTAAAAATGACAAATTGATGCCTCCTACTGAACAACACCTGAGAGTATGCTCTGGCCTCCACGTGCACAAACATATGACCAAACCGAACACAGCCATGCGCTCATTATGAATGCAGGTGCTGAGGCAGACGGCTCTGCATCTTACTCGTATCTATAAGCAGCCATCATCTGTCCATCACAAGACACAAGACACAGACTGAAAAATAACTTATTTATACAAAATATCACCACCTAGGAACTTACCAACTTAAATTGGGAACATTTGGCCTCACGGGCATTTCAAAGCTATTGAAAAAACAAAAACAAAAACAAACCAAACAGGTCTGGGATCTTATCAAACACCAGTGAACCACACAGCGCCTTCACCCGGTTCATACATAAAGAGGGATACCAAACACTGGGTGGGGTAGAGCGGTACCCATGACCAGTATATGATCATCACGTACATGTGATGGGCAGTAAACAAACTGTTGAGTCTCTTCCTGGATTTTCTGGTCAGCACGATCTCCCTCTTGACATGGCCAACCGCCATTTCGTCATCTGGACTCAGGTTAGAGCCAGCTCGGGACCTTGATCCAGCTTAGCGCTTGGCAGCCCTGTGCCCGGATAGCTCTGTAACAGGGTTAGCTATTTCAATATCTTATCTCACCACCTGCATCCGATCCTGCCTTTACTAAGGTCCCTCTGGACCTAGAAGCAGCTTTAACTCCTTGGGGGAATCTCTCTAGTATTGTGTGTAATGTGATGGTGATTGCAGAGCTAATATCGGCAATCAGGAAGAACCTGTGTTTGTCAATGGCTGTGGAATATCACGTGAAAGCCATAGTTGGTGGATTGAAGCCAATGAAATAGCTCATGCATTTATTGTTAGCCAATAAATCCCAACACTGTGGAAAAACACAAATATGTCCGTTCTTGTTTCTGACATGGCATACTAACAATAAGGTATTCGGGTCTATGGGAAGCAGCAAGGGTCCTCCCAGCTGGGAGACCTGTGGTCCAGCTGACACTCATGGTCAAGGGTAGAAGTCTAGCTTATCTCTCCACCTGCCTTGTTTCTCCTGCCACTTTATCTGGAAGGGCGAGAAGGTGCCTCAGTTTAGAACTTTTACCTCTCCCTCCCCGTGGGACTGGATCCAGGTGTGAGGGGAACAGTCCCCAGGGACCTGTAAAGTTTAAAAGGCCTCAGACCTCAGTTTGGGCCTCAGCCCTACCTTCCCAACATGCGGAGGCTGCTGGTTCTGAGTGTGCTGCTGCAGGCAGCTTTTGGCCATGAGAACTTTGTGGGGTAGGGGCATGGAGAGGAGTGTGTGTGTGGGTGTCCTAAAGTGTGCGAAAGGGCTCTCCCCAAGTCAGTGTCTGGAAGGGACAGACAGACACACGGAAACACAGTGAGAGAAGACAGACCAGACTGCCACCACCCTGGGACAGCAGCCTGGTAGGGAGGGCACGGCTTGGAAGGGCCCAGAAGAAGCTGGAGAGTTGAGCTCTCAGAAAGAATTTTTAGATGGAGAAAGGAGGGGTCTGGTTGGCTTGGAGATAAACCAGTCTAAATTGTGAAGGGAACAGCACAAAAGTGTAGAAGCTTCCAAAGACAGGGAGAGACATGAGGAAGTTCAGATCTCTCTTTGCTCAGACCCCTCCTTTGACTCTACGGGCCTGGGCTGGGAAGTGTTGGGGTGCCTCAAGTTCTCAGGGCTCTTCCTGCTCTGCCCAGGCATCAGGTTCTCCGAATTTCTGCAGCCGATGAAGCCCAGGTGCAGAAAGTGAAGGAGCTGGAGGAGCTGGAGCATTTGAAGGTGAGAGGGCAGGTTTCCCTGGCCGCCCACAGGGCACCCCACTGCTTCCTGTAAACATTTGGTTAGACCCTGGGCTCTGGCCTAGCCTCCCTGCACAGTCATGGGGCTGCGCTATTGAGAAATGACTTCAGACCCCAGATTCAGACCTTGGTGCCCTTGAGAATCTGATAACATGCCAGGACCCCTTTCCCACTTCCTATGTCTGTCTTGTTCCCTCAAAGCCTCTCGGTTCTGGCCGTTTCCTGACCACACTGGACTTTGTCCAGTTCCCAGGCTTCTCCAATCTTTCTCTGCTTCCAGAACACGGGCATCACCCCCAGCTATGTGGGAGCTTCTAGTGCCAATGACCCTCGCTGGCTCTCCCACTCTTATGGCCTGGTTGGCGCCTCTAGCCCCCTTTAACAGTGCCGCTCCTATCCTTCCTAGCTGGACTTCTGGCGGGACCCTGTCCGGCCTGGAATCCCCATTGATGTCCGAGTGCCCTTCTCCAGCATCCAGGCTGTCAAAGTCTTCTTGGAATCTGAAGGTATTAGCTATGACATCATGATTGAAGACATTCAGTCCCTGTTGGATGAGGAAAAGACGCAGATGCTCGCCTTCCAGGCCAGGGCCCTATCCACCAAAACCTTCAATTATGCCACCTACCACACCCTGGAGGAGGTGAGGACAGCCCTGGAAGATTCTGTCCATAGCACCATACTTTTTCTTCATGTTTGGCAGAATGCAGACCAGGGCCAAGGCTGGCCTGGCTGTGGGTAACTCCTACTGTTTCTGTGTGGCCGCTGTGGTCAGTTGTGACAGCACACTCAGGCTGCACTACCAGGCTGCTGAGGGAGGCATCTGGGTTCCCAGAAGCCATTAAGTTCCTCTTCTCCTTTGCTTCTTTCCCATCTTAGATCTACGAATTCATGGACCTGCTGGTGGCAGAGAACCCACAGCTTGTAAGCAAGATCCAGATTGGCAACACTTTTGAAAATCGCCCCATTTACGTGCTGAAGGTAACAGAAGCCCACATGTAGACAAGGGCACACATGCAAAGATGTGCCCTCATGTGGACCTCCATAGAAGGGTGTAGGGTAGATGGGTAATGGAATACACGGTTCTACACAATCCGGGTGCAGATACCTGGGAAGGTCTGAGCATCCATACTGGCCTAGGTGGCCATATGCATGTATACAAAGTTTGAGGTGAGGCCGGGTGGTGGTGATACACACCTTTAATCCTAGCACTCTGGAGGCAGAGGCAGGTGGAGTTCGAGACCAGCCTGGTCTACAAGAGCTAGTTCCAGAACAGCCTCCCAAGCTATACAGAGAAACCCTGCCTCGAAATCCCCCCCCCAAAAAAAAAAAAAAAACCCAAAACCAAGTTTGAGGTGACCCAAGTGTAGTGGCATCTTGTGCAGGGGCCATGCTAATCTTCTCTGTGTTGCTCTGATTTTCGTATACGTGCTGCCCATGATACAGAGAAGATTAGCATGGCCCCTGTGCAAGGTGCCACGATGCAAAGTGTTGCAGTATGAGAAGTGTTGTGGAGTCCTGACGTCCAGATAGAATGTTTTCCTGGTGACCTCCCACAGTGGACTATCTGAACATCAGAACAGGGCCAGGGCCTGGAAGTCAGGAACCCAAGCTCTGTAGGGTCCCTGTATGGCCCATGATCCCATAACTCCACAAAGGATGAGGTCCCCAAAACCGCCTCCCTCGACCTTAGGTATATCAAGAGCTGGTGGCTTCTGGCCAAGGTGGAGGGAATAACTGAGGCCTGGATGGAGAGTGCCCTTTACCCATCTTATCTCCCTGCCTCTTCTTCAGTTCAGCACTGGAGGGACCAACCGCCCAGCCATCTGGATTGACACTGGCATCCATTCCCGAGAATGGGTCACCCAGGCCAGTGGGGTCTGGTTTGCAAAGAAGGTAAAGTTGGGCAATGAGGAAGGATCTTGCTTGCTGGGGAACTGGTGTTCACAGACCATGGGAAGCTGGATCTCCCCTTTGCAGAAGCAATGGCCACAAAGGGCGGCCAGGGAAAGTGCCGGTTGTATGAACACGGCCAGCACTCTACCTTCTCTTCCAGATCACTGAAGCTTACACCCAGGACCCAGCTTTCACGGCCATTCTTGACAACATGGACATCTTCCTGGAGATTGTCACCAACCCTGATGGTTTTGCCTACACCCATAAAACGGTACAGACTACCTCTTGTTCCCCAGGGCAGCAGGATGTACCTTTAAGCTCCACAAGTGACACCCCCCTCCCCTCACCAATGGGAGAAGGGACAAGCAGGCTGTCCTCATGGAACTGGGACTCTCATTCTAGGCCCTATTGCCATCTTAGGTTGATTCTTTGCTGTTGGGGGGCTGTTTATGCATGGTAGGTGTTGAATAGCCTCTTCACCTACCCACTAGCTTCCAACAGCAACTCCTCATGCAGACATAATAATACAAGACTCCTCTAGACACTGTATATATATAAAGTGTCCCGGGGAAGCCAATGCTGTCCTTGACTGAGATCCTTGCCCCACCCAACCCCGATCCCGAGTTCCATAGCAGCTTTTACCCTGTGACAAATGTCACAGTTGGTGGTGTGGCTGTGCCGGTTCCTGGATTATCCTCTTTTCTTCCTCAGAATCGCATGTGGCGGAAGACTCGATCACGCACACAGGGCTCCCTTTGCGTTGGGGCCGACCCCAACAGGAACTGGGATGCTGGCTTTGGGCGTAAGATTTCCTATGGGGCGGGGAATGGAACAACATGGCGTCTTGCCCTCCCGTTGCTGGTTCCCTACCACTTTCTTGACCTAGCAGTGAGGAAGAGTGCGGGCTTTAAGCTCTGCCTGAGGGTTCTCTGGGTTGGAGGTGGCACTCAGGCACTTGGGCCCTTGTTTGTAGGAAGAAAATTCCTTCTAGATGGAATTGGGGTTTCAACTCTTGCCTTCCTTGGCCATGTCCCTGTGTAAACTGATTTCTGCTCTACCCAAACCTGGCTAGTAAAGGAGGTGGGGCTCCCGATGATGCGGTGGCTGGCTGTTCCTTAAGCCAGGGGAGGGGGAGGGGCCTCTCTGTACCCCACTTCTACCTAACTCCATAAAATGTACTGGAAGCCATGGAAGTTGTGGAAGCCACACCACTTGAGTTAATAGCTGTGTCCTCTGCCTTCCCACAGTGGCCGGAGCTAGTAACAACCCCTGCTCGGACACTTACCACGGCAAGTTTGCCAACTCTGAAGTGGAGGTCAAGTCCATTGTGGACTTTGTGAAGAAACATGGAAGCATCAAGGCCTTCATCTCCATCCACAGCTACTCCCAGCTCCTTCTCTACCCCTATGGCTACACATCAGAACCAGCCCCTGACAAGGAGGAGCTGGTAGGTGATGATCCCAATTGTGTTCCCCTTTAGGAACCTGAATTTCACCCCTCTAAGCTGATTAAATGCTAAGAGCCTACCACTGTCTCCAGTGCCAGTCTTTCCCCACAGTCTTTTGATGATTTGGGAAGTCTGGCAGGATGATTTGTGTTGACCAGGAAGGTAGCCTGCTTCATTCGCTGGGAAATGAAGCATAGTGTGGTTGAGTCACTTCTGTCAATACAGAGCAAGAGGCAAGGCTAGACTCTGAATTTGCAGACTCCCCTGGAAAGAAGGGGAGTACCAGCCAGCCATCCTGTGGAGATGGAGAGTTCATGCTGCCCTCATATTCTGGGGCTGACCTGAAGGGCGGGCTCCATGTCCTCTGCCACTTTAAGCTGGTGTCCACTCCTGGGCCGCCCCAACAGTGCTTGGGCTACCCTGGCCCTGACAGTGGCACTGCTGGATCTTTTCTCCAGGATCAGCTCGCTAAGTCTGCTGTAACAGCCTTGACATCTCTGTATGGGACCAAGTACAAGTATGGCAGTATCATTGATACAATCTGTAAGTTACTGGTGGCCTGGAAACCGGCATTAACTGGCTCTTCTTGCCGCAGGTGCTCAGATCTGGGAGTCGCCGGAGGGTGGGTAGTGCCTTCTCCTGACTGACTTTCCCCACACTGTTTAGAGGGCTCCTGAGCACATCTGTCCTCTTATCTTGAGGCTGCATCTGGGTCCCTGCACGGATGAGGTGGAGCTCTGAGATTTATAGGTCGCCATAAAATTCTGTGTAAGAAATGCCTTTCCACCCCCATCCTTACACGGCACACCGAGGAGAAGCCCCTGACAGAATCATGGCTACAAGCATGTGGGATGCAGTCGGCAGTCACTGACCAAGCACCCGCTTTGTATCAGGCATCCCTTGTCTGTGTGCTTGAGTATAGCCATGAACAAAAGGAGCAAACCCACCCTAGGCAGGAGGACTGGCCATGTGCTTAGAAACCACAGCGGATTAAGTGAGAGATGTGGGAGGAAAATAACAGAGCCGGCCAGGGGCATCAGGAGTACTAGGGTGGAGGCTGAATACCAGGGTAGGAGGAGGCTTGCAGACAGAGAGGAATTTGGGCTATAGTGGTGAAGGAAATGAAGGGAAGCCAGGGAGGCCATCTGTCTAGGTAATAGGCCTCCAGGCAGAACTTTCTAGAGTAAAGGCTTTGCTATGTGATGTGGTATGGGGTGTTTGGGGAACTTTTTGCCTGAAAAGTTTTGCCTGGCAGGCAAAAGCAGGACGCAGATGCCAAGGTGGGAGAGCTGCACGGCCGCTTCACACGCTTCCTGCCAGTGGGCCCAGGTTTAAGGTGGGGAGTGGGTTGCAGTCTTAGCCAAGGCAGAACTTGTTTGGGATCCCAGGCTTTCTTTGGAAATAGTTTCTAAGCTGTGTCCAAAGATTTTGCTGCATTTAGTGTACTGAAGTGAGATTCTAATGTGGAACCCAACTCCCTTTCCCAGTGCCCAGTTCAACAAAAGCAGCTCTGTCAGCTACTGTAGACTGCAAACCCGTGAGATTTTCCCTCTAGAAGACAGACAAGAGGCTTTGCCCTGACCAGGAGTCTTTGCACTTTCCTCTGCAGACCAGAGTCCCTGGAGATTGATTCTTGGTTACCTAAGCTTGGGGCTCCAGCATATGTAGAGGTGTCATTGAGGTGACTGTAGGGTGGAGACAGTTTTCAGACAGGCTTTTGCAATTACACATTCTTTTGGCATCCCACTAATGAATAGGACAACCACTGCTGGTTATTGGTCTCTTGGGTTTAGAGCCAGCAGGAGATTCCTGGAAGCCCCACTGTGTGTCAATAGAAGCCCCCAGAAGATATACTCTTTATTTGGCATTACACAAGGCTTGGGCTTTGGGTGCTAACTCAGTCCATGTAGACATTTGCAGTGATCAACCCCTTACTCTCACTTTTTGTCTTTGTTCCTGCCCCAGATCAAGCCAGTGGGAGCACTGTTGACTGGACCTACAGCCAGGGCATCAAGTATTCTTTCACTTTTGAACTTCGGGACACTGGGCGCAGAGGCTTCTTGCTGCCTGCCTCCCAGATCATCCCCACAGCTGAGGAGACATGGCTGGCCCTTCTAACCATCATGGACCACACCTTCAAACACCCCTACTAAAGCAGCCCTTTAGCCCCTGCCTTTCCCTTTTCCTTAGCCCCATCTGGACAACCTAATAAAGTTTGAGTGTACAAGAAAAAGAACCTTGGGGTTTGTGTGTGGGATGCACATGGAGTGCCCACTTTTTTTAGCTGAGGCAGAAGTGGTTTAGTCCCCGCAGGTCTCAATGGAAATGTGTGGGTGGCTGAACTAGATGACCCCTAAATTCTCCTGCATTCCAGGGTCCCATGAAGTTGCATCCAAGAGGCAGTGGGGTGGTTTGTTCATATCTTAGTAGCAGAAAACAGCCACAGCTGCTAACCAAATGCCTGGCACCCCGTGGTGAAGAGGAATTGAGCAAGTGCAGCAGTCTAGCTGATAGTATCCATTCATCTTTAGAAGCAGTAACCTGGAGTATGGAATATAATAACTCTAGTGGCCACTGCTGTCCAAAGGTGATGCTGCAGGTGAGTCAGACAGGTTACTGTAGGCAGTATGTGGCCTCCCACTACAGAATTACATTGGAAGAGAACATTGAGGTAAAGTGAAACTATTCACTGAAGATAAAGACTCAAGCAGCCAGGTATATTTATTAATTGTTGTGTATTGAGGGCAATTGACCTGGAAGGGTAGAAACAGCTTACATTTTTGTTTGCCAAATCCTCTGTGAGGTCTGCTGTGCATCATCTCTGCTGCCTCTTGTTTCTCTCCCCCACCTTCCCATTTTCCTGTCCTACATCTCTCCAAAAAGCTGACCTCCCTTGGCATGGTGACCCTCAGGCCTTCCACAGCACGTTTACCAGCTAGCATCACAACACAGTCACCTACCTTCATTAAAGCAAGAATTGACCTCGGTTTCCTCTGTATCTCTTAGATGTGAATGTGAGTTGGGGGACTGACCCAGGATGCAGGTATATAGGCTGGGGTGAGATTGGAGGCTGTCCCTCTTTCTGTCGCTTAGATTTCAAA